AGCATGACAAGAAAACATATGACATGTATTTTTTTATGGTCTTTTCTTTCTGTTACTGTTATTAATACCACGCAAATGATGTGCACTGGGATCTTTAAACATCTTCTAACCATTCAGTAAATAATTTCACAGAATAATGAATTCAGTACTGTGAATTAGCCACACAGATTTTAAGACTTCTTTTAGTTTTTATGTCACATCTGGAAACCCATTGGACATGGTACTTTGGTGCACCTTCGGAGTGATTCTTGGCTTTGTCTGAGGACGCCCTCTCCTCAGCTTTCCACACCTGCGGTTAGGACCTCTGTTTCCACTGAGGAGTAGGAGCGGGACACGCTGACCATGTCTGGTGCTGTATTGTACAGCAGAGAAATTGCCTTGTGTTCTTGGAAGTGAGCCCTGTGTTACACAACTGCCGTTCAAAGGTTACAAAGGCAAAGGCTTTGCCAGCAGACTCAACACTTCAAAGCAGTGGCAACAATTGTTGGATCAAACAGAGAGGAAAGAAGTTGCCTGTGGGTCCCCAAAGCAAACTGGTGTCTCAGAAGCAAAAACAGGATCCAGAAGAATCTTACTGAGAAACAATGAGAAAAAAACTGCTCATTTATGTGGAACAAAAGCCCGAGTCCTCAAGAAACTCTCCAAGTTGCTTCCACATCCAATCAATATTTTCTCTAGCACATATGGAATGAGCCTTAGCCAACTTCCTCCCCCAGACATTCCTTTTTCTGACTATCCTTAGAAAGAAGCAAGCCAGCTAATTCAACGAATCTCATTCATACTTATGGGAGTCACCAAGCTTGTAGGGACAGTCTCACCACCCAGTTTTCCTGACTCAACAAATTACTGCAGATAAGCTCAGCCACAGATACATCCACACATATGCTCTTAGCTCACAGCAGATGCAAGGTAATGTCACACAAGCTCAGTCCTCTAATGACAGAGAGAAAATCTGAAGACTGAAATTTCTGACAAGTGCAAAGGAAAGAAGGAGGAAATTTAAGACTGGTCATAGATGACACGGGTGGAGATGAAGCCTGGCCTACAAAAGCCACATAAGCAAGGTGGAATTCCCATTCCATGCAAGCCTGACTCTTTCTTACAGTCAGCACTAAAGTCACATCAGCTTAGGAACAGACCAGGCTGAGGCTCGATGCCAGCAATTTGGATTTGCTTGAGTATGACCAAAGTAAACACTCAGCTTAAGTATTTCTCCACAGACCATTTCTCCTCTTCTCTCCCTCCCGCTGCAGCAAACCTCCTCAAAAGTTCTCTTTTAAGAAACTATTTGCTGCAAAATTAAAGCTGAGACTCCTTGAAGAGATGAAACCGCCTCCATTTCAACTTCAACATCTTGAACAGCTCAGACTACTCTTTGAAACCGAGGATTTTCAATTCACATGCTGCCAAAGAAGATTTGCTGAGGATAACAGCCTCCTCACCTGCCCAGCCAGCAACATAGATGATGGGTGTTCATCTCTGCTGCTTCAATGAAGGGCACATCACTTTAGTTCACATTATTACTGAAATGGGTTTATGCAGAGATGTTTGACTTTGAAGTGGAAGGGCTGGAGCATGCGTTACTTCCTGCTGACTTGCCAGAGCTCATCTGTTGGTGCTTCTAGGCCCAGATATGCAGTCAGTTGGACACTAAATTCTGCTGAAATATGGGGGTAAATACTGCCTGAGCCCGAACCCATGCATAAACCTCACTTGATTTTAATGGTATTTATACCCTAGTTGATAGGAGGTGCTCAGGGCCTTAGCCGCGTATGGGCATTTAATTGAGAATTCAGACACAATTCTGCAGACAACTTCCTACATTTTGATATAATTTGTTAGTTTGTTTTAGAAACAATCCTGCAGTTAGCACGATTCCACCTGGGAAGGAGCATATGTGCTGTCTTCCTTGCCCAGGCCCTGGAAATATCAAGAAACAGTGATTTTAAACATTGTAGAAACTCTGTGTCCACAGCAATGACTGCATTTTAAAACTTTGATGGCCATTATTTTCAAGAGCATTTTAAAGGGTAAATTTCAGATCACAGCAACCTGTATGTTAATTGCCAAGAGTTCATTTGAAG